TTTGAAGTGCCCAAAAACAGACCGACAAACCCTCGGACGGACAGACTACGAAATACGGGATTGATGCCTCTGGTCAGTGGGCGTCCCTTTCAACTTACCGCGGCCGTGAAGCTCGGGCATGCGTGTTAAAGAAAGCGCGAAAGTTAGGCCTTGAATTAAATCTTAAATTAACGTGTCGCACATTAGAACGTTCGGCGGTGCGATCAGGAAAAACGATAGCCTTCAATTTTCATCGTTCTGAAAAATCCCAATGACAAAACGCATGGACGCTACCCCTCAATCTCCGCTTAGGCTATTTATTTCCTAAAAGAAGCTCGGTGACCGAGATTATCACAAAATTTAATTGAATAGAATGACCTGCTTTTTGTAAATTTCATACCTATCTCTGTACCATAATGCGTTTTGTGGCTTATTCGAAAACCAGAAAATCAACAAGAGAAAAATGTGGAATACCCCAACGCTGTGACGCACCGACACTGTTCTTTTAATACCTAACCAGCGCTGACTCCCCGCTGCGCGGGGGTTCAGCGCTGGCCTTCTCCCACCACCACAATTTGAATTTGTAGTTTGAATGCAAAATTTGGCTGAATTCCCGGTCGGTCGGGCGCACGGACATTAGAAATTTACCAGCGCTGACCCCCCGCTACGCGGGGGTTCAGCGCTGGCCCTGCCCTCCGCCATTTGAATTTCTAATTTGAATGCCTAACTTGGTTGAATTCCCGGTCGGCGGGCGTACGGACATTAGAAATTTAGATATAGTAGATATATAGTGGATAGAGCGGCTAAAACTAGGCACGCGGCGCGACCGACGATACGACACGCGACGCGACACGTAACGTCACCCGCAACACGACACGCAACGCAACGCGTCTTATTTCATGAATAGTTGAGCTCAACGCGGGAGGTAACGCTACGTGCATCGCAACACGCACCGTCGCATGCAGCGCGCTATGAAACGACAACACATTGTTACACGGATCGCGAAAGGCAACGAGTTACGCAACGCTGTTCGAAACTCGGTCCAAACTCGGTACGAAACGCGACACGCAACGCATGCGAAACGCGCTACGCCACGCGAAACGCGAAGCGACCGTACGTGCGATTGCCTCCTTTTCACCCCGAATAGATCGATAAGCCGGCTTCTACCCTTCCTCCTCCTCCACACCCTAATTTCCATATATCGGCATGCCAGGCCCCGATCGCGCCGCTTCTTGCGGCCCGTGGGAGCGTCCCACTTTTTTTTGGTGTGTCGATCATCGCAAGAAGGCCAGGGCGCTGGCCGTCGATTGTGCCCTTTGCAACGTTTTTGCCCATGTCGATAGAAGGGTACGATCCGAATGGGGGAGGGGATGATTCAGATGGCGATCGGTGGGAGAGAGATAGAGAGAGAGAGAGAGAGAGAGAGAGAGGGAGATTCTGTACGCGCCCTCCAAAAATGGCGGGTACCAGTCGGGGGGAGAAGCTGTATGAATCGGGGGAACCCTGCTCGCCAGGCTAGGGTGCGCCGTGAATGGATAATGAGGGGGCTAGCAGAGAAATTTTGGCAACTGTGCTTTCGGCAAATGGACAGCCAGCAGAAACGCTGTGGGAAATGGAGAGATCAGCTCATGCTCCCGGGCTACCTAGCAGGAATTCTTTAAGAGCTCCGGCTGGTGATCCCCGAGCTAGCTAGCAGAGATTATTTAAGAAATCCTGCTGGTGATCCCCGGGCTAGCTAGCAGAGATTCTTTAGAAAATCGCATTCCGGCGTCCAGGCTAGCTAGCAGAGATGCTTTAAGAAATAGCAAGTTAGTCTAGGCGAGCTAGCAGAGGTTATTTAAGAGCTCCCGCTCATGATGCCGGGCTAGCTAGCCGAGATCCTTTAAGAAAACGAGCTCATGATCCCAGACCAGTTAGCAGAGGTTCTTTATGAACTCCAGCTCGCGGTCCCGGGCTAGCTGGCAGAGATTCCTTAAGAGCACAAGCTCTTGATCCCGTAGCTAGAAGAGATTCTTTAAGAAAACGAGCTCGTGATTCCGGGTAGCTAGCAGAGATTCTTCATGAACTCCAGCTCGTGAGCTCGAGCTAGTTGGCAGAGTTCATTTAGCAAAACCGTATACCCCTCCCAACCCGACTAGCAAAAATTCCAATGCCACTCAATTTTGCCCCAGATGACGGATGCCTCAAGCGGCGACCGGATGCGCCCTAAAGCCCAATTTCGGATGGCAAGACGTTTTGCCCCTGCGGGTGTTTGGAAAGATGGTGATGGAGGGGCTCAATTTAGAGGCAGCAGCACCCTTCCTTACCCGCCATATAGACAGAGCAATTTGTCTATCAGCCCTCTTGTTGGGGGTATCTGGCACCCATCTGACCCTTCCACTGCTATCGCTCACTGTCTTTAGGAGGGGCACCACTCCGAAGGGGTCACCATTTACCATTCGAGGTCTTGGCGGTGGTTAATTGGATAAACAATGCCGGGAGCAGGAGGCTGATTAAAGGGACCGGGAAGGCAAAGAAATCCCAAAAACCACCGCGGTTTAATCTTAGAAAAGAGCAACTAAACTTCTTGCCCTCGCGTCTATGTTTAAACCGATTAAAATTGTGTAAATTGCAGTGTGTTTAAACGTGAAACTCCAACTTTTAAAGTTTAAATTGGAAGTGCAAAAATTCATTTTTTTTTTATAGTCCTGAGTCATACTTTAAAAAACCTTGAAATTATAAAAATGAAATTTTTGATTTGATTCTTTTGTTTTCGCTAGCAGTAATGACGTGTTTCCATCCTGGGCAAAAGTTCTAGCTCAAAATAGTGTAATTGCTTCACGCCATACACGGCAGCAGCCATGGTCAGCGGCACTCGGTATTCTAAACATTGCCCCTAGCTACCGTACGCCCTTTGAGGTGACCGCTTATCAAGGGAATGCCAGGGAGGGGCTAGAATATCAAATGTGTTGTTTATATTCACGATTGGGTGACAGACAAAGAGCGGCAGCACCCTACCCCCCGTTCATAGGCCTGGCGTGTACTTGAAAGCCCACCGACCGCGCACCATATTTCAGGGGGCAAGCCCCCCTGGTTCTCTCTCTCTCTCTCTCTCTCTCTCGCGTTCTCTCGTTTTCTCTCTCTCTCCTGCCGTTCCCGCCACCCGGGGGCCCGTTAAATACCATTAGGGGCCAATCTTGGGCTCGTGAAGATTGTATCTTCTCAAGAACAAAGCCCGGCGGCGTATAATGATCGGGATTAGGGAATGTAAGGTATGCAAATTTGGGTATGTGAGGTATTAGCTATTTCAAGGGATAGGCAGGGCATCACTATCAATCAGATCGGTTCTGGACTGTTAGCGGGGGGGGGGGTTTAGCGGGCGAAATCCAAATTTTTTCCTATGATTATCTACGGCCCTATTAACCAAAATATAAACCATTTTTATAGCATTGTACATGGTTTTTAAATATACAAAAAATATCCAAACATATTGAAAATCCTCGAATTTTCGGCGTTTTGGTCAAATTGTATGAAAAATGACCAAAGAACGTAAAAAATTCAAAAAAATATTTTTTTAGTAATCAAAAACTACGAAACTAAACTACTCTGTTCCTCTCTCTCGCTCTCTCCCTCCCCCTCTCCCTCCAGGCTAGCTTGGTGTGCTTGGTGCATGTGTCCTCCTCTAGGCTAGAAGGAGTGGCTTTGTCCACAGCCCATAAATCTGGGTCCTCCAGGGAGAGGCTCCTGCTCCTCTCCACTGCTCACATAGTCAGGACACGCGGGGTGGGGGGAGGTGGAGGGGGAGAAGGAGGAGCCGGAGATTTATTATTTCCAGGCTTGTTTAAATCTCCGAGGAGCCCTTTTCTACCCGAGGCGGAGACCCTATACCCAACACCCAATACGTTGCCATGAAAAAGGCAGTGGAAGGAGGGTTGTTAGGGGATACGCTGAAGATCAAGAAATGAAAATCAAGTTTAGTCTTGGCTTTGGCTTGACTTTGGCTCTAGGCTCAGATTTAGCCTAAAGTTTGGCTTAGGCTTAAGATTGGCTTTGGGCTCAGGCTTCGCTCAGACTTGGTTTAGGCTTGGGCTTGGGCTTTGCTTAGGCTCAGGCTTAGGCTTCGTTTAGGCTTAGGTTTATGCCAAGGCTTACACATAGGCTTAGGCTTCGTTTAGGCTTGGTTTAGGCCTAGGCTTGGATTTAGGTTAGGCTTAGGCTTAGACTTCAGCTCAGGCTCAACCCAGGCCTAGGCTTAGGCTTCGGCTTAGACTTCGACGTAATAGCACCTTTAGCTTAGGCTCAGGCTTAGGCTTAGGCTCAGACTCAGGTTACGTTATGCTTTGGCTTAGGCTTAGGCTTGGCTTAGGCCAGTGACTTGCTAGCCACTGGCTAGCCACCACCCCCAATTTTGGATCAATACCAAATTATCAGACATTTGCATCCGGGCATCCCTTTATTTACATGGCCATAAAAATGTTATAAATCGGGGGGGTAGTGGCCACTGGAAGAGGAAAGATAACAGTCCGAGTACTTGGGGTGCAATGACTTTTACTGCTAATTAGATCCGGGATCACCATAAAAGGTATAAAAGCGAGAGGGGGAGAGAGAGAGAGAGAGAGAGAGAGAGAGAGAGAGAGGAGAGAAGATACAAAGCAAAAAGTTCTTTATTCTCATTTCAAATCCTCAGAACACAACAAATTGACGCACTCGTCGTTGGGGAAGTGTAGTGAGTTGATGGTGCTTTGTCTAAAAAAATCTTTTTACCTCTATCCTGCTCTCTCTCCTCTCTCACTCTCGCTCCCCCTCTATCTCTTTCTCTCTTTTTCGCTCTCTCTTTCTCGCTCACTCTCTCTTTCTCTCTCTCTTTCTCTCTTTCTCTCACTCGCTCTCTCACCTTTTCTGCCGTTGCAGCCGCCCCAAAATCCGCTTCTGATGCTGCACGGGATGCTGCCGTAGCCGTTCCTCCAGCTCGCTCTCGCTGAACACCGCCCACACTTCAACGCTCCTTTAAAAGATTTTCGACACGAGAAAAATTCAGCTTACTTATCCAACAACGGCAGCTCTTCGACTCGGCTGAGGGATCGTTCTTCTTGGTCGCCTTCGTCGGCAAATTTTAGGGTCTCGACAGTCTGGAGATTTAGCTTGTATCTGAGCACGAACAGATTCCTCTCACCCTCGCTCACACGCTCTCTTTCTCTCTCTCGCTCACTCTCTTGATCACCCTCTTGTTCACTGTCTTCTTGCTCACTTTTCTCCCTACCTGCGGCATAAAAGCGATGGTATCCCGGCGGTCCACCAACGGGGTCGAGGTGTTCAGCGACCGCTCGTTCATGTACTAAATTTAATACAGGGATTTTCAAGGGTTCATGAATCCAAGAATTTATCACTCTCTGTCTCTTGCTCTCTCGCCCTCCGCTCTCTCGCTTTAGTTCTTGCACCCTGGCTCTCACTCGTTGTCTCAAAATGTTTCGCTCTCGCTCTGTCTCTAGCTCTTGCTCGCTCTCTCTCTCTCTCACCAAATTCCCGCGATACCTGCAATATATCCAACGTTGTAATATGCTGTTTCTCCGGATATTTCTGGCGTATCTCGACGATAATCTTCAGCAGTTCCTTCACCTCGACCTGTGAAGCAATAGACCACGATATAGGGGGCACCTCTATCTGCTCGGGACGCTTCTTACGCTTGATGATTCGACGCCCAAAGTAGTGGATCTTTAGGAATAGGTCCTTCAGCTCAAGGGCGGCTAACTCGGCGCACATCGAGAGTACGGCAACTCCTAAATGATCTCTGCTAGCTTCCTCTACTCGAATTTCCTTAATGATCCCTGCTAGCCTGCCCTGTTCCGTTTTCCTAAACAATTGATACTAGCAGCCTTGCTCTCGATTTTCGTAAAAAAATTTGCTAGCTGACCATGATGGAACTCGTTAAAGAGTCGCTGCTCGCTGACTGGTATCGAATTTCCTAAATGATCTATGCTAGCTTGCCCCCGCTGATTTTTCTAAGCGATATTTGCTAGCTGGCTGTCTCAGAATTTTCGCTAGCGAAGGAGAGAGAGCTAGAGAGAGCGAGAGAGAGAGCGAGAAAGTGAGATTGAGAGAGAATGTGAATGAGCATGAGCTGGTGAGAGGTATAGAAAAAGCGAGAGCGAGGGAGATAGTGGAAGAGGGAGCGAGGGAGAATGAGCATGCGCATGAGTGAGTGAGAGAGAGGGAGAGATAGTGAGAGAGAGCAAAAGAGAGAGCGAGAAAAAGAGAGCAAGCGAGCGAGCGCGTATAGTTTTAATAATTCCCAAACAACCTCTGCTAGTCTACCTCAACTAAAAAATTTTTATTGCTTCGAAACGCATATTCACCCACCAAAAGTGACAAAGAGAAATATGTAAATGAGCGTGAGCGCATGATTGAGATCCGTCGGCATTTCCCCCATCGTCAAATTCGCGACAAGATTGAAGGTGACGAAAAAGGCCTCGAGGAATGTCTTGTTGCTGCCTCAACGCCATTTTGAAAGTGTTTCAAAGGCATACCCACCAGCTGCCACGTACAAGAATCCGCCTAGGGTACAGAAAAGGAGCAGGATACTCGCGTTCAGCGACAACGGGAGCCGTGGCTGTTCTGGAGCGGCAACTTTTGGAGTTTCTTCTGGAAAAATATTTATTATATACTTTTCGGTAGATTAAAAAATTATTAACAAGCTAAGGCCTTTGAAAACAGCTAAAATATTACGGTAGACCCTAAAAAAATCATTTTTCAAGTTTTTTCTAAGAAATTTTTTACAAAATTACAAAATCGGCAACTAACCGTTATTGTTCGGATCTCCCGTCGCGGCCGGATCTTCCGGAACCGCCAAATTTTCGCCCGTATCAGAGGCTCGTTTCTTCTCCTCGGAAAACGAGTCTTTTAGGAAAGACCTAAAAAATAGGATGACTTAACGTTAAAATACTGATACCTATGCCGTCGAACCCTCAGAATCGGCTTGCTGTTGTTGACGAGGTGTAGGAGTTTGTCCTTTTTCCGGCCAAAAAGACGATTGGAAGCCGCTCGATACTGAAATTTCTTTGTTTCAGGTAATAATAAAGCTTCTGAAATAAAATTCTAAATTATTATCAAAAAGCAAAAGATTGGCATTGGGCGGGAGTCGAACCCGAGTCCTGAACCTGGTCTACCCGGACCGTAACCAATACACCACAAGTTCAAATTTCCGAAACGGATTGAAATCATTTAAAAATTCGTAAAGTTTTGCATGGCAGGCCAGCAAAGATCCTTGAAGGTTTGCGATGTAAAGATAGGGAAATTCGGCTTTTATAAAGTTATTTAAATCACCAACCCTGGTATAAACCTTCAAAACGATTTGCGACAAAAATCGGCCAATATCAACGGCGGCGAGGACCATCAAGGGGATGCCGATCATTCCTAAATTCAGTAGCGCTCGATCTATCTCTCTTTCTCTCTCTCTCTTTCCATCTCTCGCTCTCTCGCTCTCTCCCTCCTAAAACCTGACCAACATACCGTACACCACAGCAACGCACTGTCCCTTGGCGGTGGTAGGTACCGCATAGTTGTATCCAACACTGGTGGTTGTCTGGAAATTAAATTAGCATAGCTGGGGTGAGGGGGAGAGAGCGAGAGGAGAGAGTGAGAGAGAGAGAAAGAGAGAGAGAGAATGAGAGTGAGAGAGAGCGAGAGAGATAGAGCGAAAATTCATTTACTAAAATCGATAAAGCATATAAGACAGCATTCATACGATCCCAGCGAGGCGGGAGAACATCTTTTGTCGATAGATCGGGCGCCATTTTGAAGTTAGGGCCCTCGTGACGTTGGCTGATCCTGTAAGGAGACAGGCTAGCAGAGGTTCTGTGGGGTTATTAGGTCCGTAGAGCGAGAGTGAGAGAGAGAAAAGAGAGAGAGAGAGAACGAGAGAGAACGAGAGACAGCTAGAGAAAAAGAGAAAGAAACTTACTGCACAAGCAGGTCATGAATCTCCAGCTGAAACTGCTGCTGCTCAATCGGCTTCAATTGCTCCGACAGCCGCCCCAGTTCATCTTGAATATCCCGATATCGACTCTTGATCTGGGCGAACTAAAAATACAAAAATCCATAAAAAATCGGATTCCTCGCCTTTTCATGTTGCAGCTGGAGGTCCGTCTCGTTCTCGATTTTTCTAAATTTTATAAGGATTTTGAGGGCGGTATTATCCCTTCAAAATCTGCATAAAACCTCACGCAAACATCCAGGCCCCAAAGATCAAGTAGCAGAACAGAAAGCAGTAGAGCCCAAAATGAGGGAGCGCGATTTTCAGGAACTAGAAAGTTTAAAAAGATTAGAGCTTTTTAAGACCCAAAAACCCTGGCGATTCGGCCGGCTTTCCGCCGATTTTCCGTGACATGACCATCGGCTTCTTCTTCTGATGAATTTTCGGACATTTAGATAATTATTAGGCTTATTTAGTATTTAGTAAGATAGTCAATATAGTGTTGCGGACTGGATACTGCTAAGGAAAAATTTGGGGCGCCGCAGCGCTTTGAATTATTAAATTAGAAGCGGTGCAGCTGGGCCCCCAGGCTTTCTGGGTCAGGCTCCGTCCGGGTTTTTTAAGATCTCGGCTCCCAATGAAGCTACAGGTGTGTAAAGTATACCAAAATGTTTGTCTCTGGCTGGCGAGTATTTTGGTATGCTCTACAGCCCCGTAGGGTAAAAGGTTGTCGAGATACATTCGTTGACATCGGGGTTAGCGGGCGTAGCCCGCTAACCCCTTTTGGTTTGAGTCTGGACATTCGTTGCCATCTGGACATCGGCCTCTTCGTGAAGCGATATCTCGAACGGAAGGGGCCTAAACTAATTGTCAAAATTCCACTCAAATACAAAGCTAATTTTATTTAACCATTCTAATTATATTTTTAGAATGTCAGTAACTATTCTGACATTTAAAACCCGATTTCTGCTATCAAAATTTGGGTGATTTTGCATTATCCGGTGGGGGAAGCACCCTTTTCCTAGCGTCAAATTGTTCTAATCATTTTGACAAAAATTCCAATTTAAAAAATTTTCGAAACGTTTTTTTGAGCAATTATTGCGTTTGAAGGATGGTCCAATTTTATTAAGAACACTATTAAAATACTTGATATTACGTAACTTTACCAAAACTGTTGGAAAAATTAATATTTTTTTCCTTGAACGCTTTCCATCCTACATTCACATTTTTCAGTCGAATTCTGCCGTGCCTAACAACATAAAATTAAAAAAAGTTGTGAAAAGCGTAATCCGCGTGCCATTTTTCCGAAAAAAACTCTTCAAAGCCTTTTATTCAACCCAAACAACACGGTTAATGAATTAAATGAGCACGAAACCTTATAAAATCTGATGAGGATCTGAGGTGGGTGGGGGAAAAGCATCGAAAAAGAAAAAAGCAGCAGTATAACCGCAGCAGCGGGCAGCACCGACCAATCACAGATTGGCGAAAGCGAGAGAAAGAATGGGGAGAGAGAGCGCGTTAGAGACAGCGACAAACATAAATCATCGGTTTTCTATAAAAAAAACACATAAGCTTAAAGCCAAAAATTACACAAGCGATAGGTAAGTACAAAGTGCGTACAATAATTCGTGGTCTATAATTTGGTATCATAGGAGATGGCAAAATCTTCAGGCAATCGACTGTTTCGACCCGTCGCGGCGGCCTTGCGCCGACTTTCGGCGTTTGCCGGAGTGGCTGCGGCTGAGGCGGCCCTTCCTTGATGGCTTCTGGTCAGACTGAAAAAAAACTATAAAAACCAGTTTTTATAACATTTTTTAACTACCCAAAACAGCAGCTTAAATTAGCTAGACACTACAACTTTTATTAAAAACTCTAAAAAATATGAAAATGAAAAACTGTTCATTTTTACCAAAATTTTAAATTTTTACCCGGATTTTTCCTCACTTAAAACCTACCCGAATGACCAGAATACAAACGCTAGAAAGAAGAGATAAATAAGCTATAAAGCTATCAAAATAAGGAACAAAAAATACGCACCGAATTCTCGTTCTCCTTGCCCTCGCTGCAGGCCCTGGCGAGCGCTTTCTGGAGGCGCGGGAAAGCGGAGACCAGCTTCGCGCCCATCTCCTTCAGCTCGTAGACGCCAATCTAAACACATAAAATCTAGATTTTTTGCTTAAAAACTTCCGTACCTGTTGACCGCGATATTTGCCGGTGTCAAAGCCGCAGTAGGTGCTCTCCATCGTGTAGACGCGCGGCAGGCCGAATTGGCGCCACAGAGCAACCCTAGAAAATCTCCGGGTTAAAAAGGACCTAGAAAACAATAAAAATAGTATAAGAATATAGGAAGGACAAATAGGGTAATAATAAAAATAGAAAAAGCTTACAAATTTAATCAAAGCACTACCTGGCCGAGGGTTCCTTGTCTTTTTGGATGGCGTACTTGCAGCCCTTCAGCGAGAACCCGGGCGCTATCTAGAAAAATTTTTTTTCTTACTTTTTTTAAGCACGAAAACGTCATAAAAATTGTATTCAAAACCACAAAATACCGTAAGAAAATACTGATTTTTTTTTTCTGCACCAAAATCTGCAATTTTGACAAAGATGCCGACAAAATGTTTAAAAATTATTTCTATTCGTGTTGTTTTCGTTATTTAGCTGCTCGAAAATTCTTCCAAAATCCTCGCTAGTCCGCCCACACCTTGTGCAAAACCTCGGGCAGAACGTTGTGATCGGCAAATCGTTCGACGAGCGCCTCGTCCTTCCGATCCGTACCGCGCCAACTTTCGGCCGGGTTGTTCCCGAACGTGAATATGTTGGCCCTAAAAATTAAGTTAAAAACAGCTTAAAAACGCTCACTTTTTCGAGTGCCCATGCAGATCGATGACGCAAAATGGGGGCTTGGCGAGGACGTCGACCATATATTGGATAACGCCCTTGGCATGGTAGATCTCGGGATGACGGCTTCGAGAAGGGCGATCCCAGACGCGATTCATGTCGCAGCCGGCGAGTGAGCATCTAAAAGCGTTTCAAGAAGTTTTTAGATTTAAAAGAATGCAAATAGACCTAAAATTTCACCCACCGATGGCTGCCATTGATTACCCCATCCGGGTTAAGCATCGGGATGAGCTTGAAAATGAAGCGCGACAGCAGGTCTTGCGAGTCCAGGTTGCCGAGGGCGGTCAGAACACCATGCATCATCCACGAGGAGTTGCTCTCGCCTGGGTGGACCCGCGAGCTGATGAAGATGATCTCGCTAAAAATCGGCGTAAACGTGAGAGAGAGCGAGAGAGAGTGAAGGAGAGAGCGAGAGAGAGAGAGAGAGAGAAATTACCGTTTTTCGAGCTGCTCGACGGTGCCCGGCGCGGTGACGGTGACGACATGAATCGGATTTCCGGCCAGAGAATGCCCGATGACGTCGGCCCGGATCGAGGTGGACGGGCGAGGCCGGATCAGATGGCGGTGGAGGACGGTCTGGAAAATCGGGTATTGAACTGTTAGCGGGGGACGACATTTTTCCTTCCTTTTCCTTACCTTTTTTTTCCTTAAAATTGGATGAGGATGGCGAAAAATTTCGTTTTCAAATTTAGAAATTTTTTGTGGCTTTTAGTAATCAAAAAAATGCTAAAAGCACTGTAAAATAGACTAGCAAACACAGAAAAATTTTCAATAGGGCCAGATAGCCTCGCCGCCGCCCCTCCCCGCTAATAGAAAAGACCAAAAAAAACTTTTTCGAAAGATTTCCCGATCATTTCCGCACCTTCATATACGAGTACGTGTACGGGAAGTGGTAGGCGATGTATACAACGTCGGCGGCATGGCGAAACGACACGGAAAAGCGGGTAGTGTAGAGAGCCCTGAAAAGGCGTAATCTCAGAGATGCTCGCTTAGTCATGCTCCCAGTGCTGCACGCAAAATTAGGCCCTCAAAAAAGCGGAAACGAGCTCGACGAGACAATGTAAAATTTGGGAAGTGATTTTGGATAAAACCTCTTTTTCGCAGCTTTTCGCCGGTTTGCCGCAGCTTTAGACCGGAAAACTCGTTGGAACCAGCTGCAAAAAGGGTTGAATTAGCGCGATTTTCTGGCTAGTTGTCAATTCTTAAAACCTGGAAATTGCACCAAAAATTTTAAATAAAAAACGCCATTTCGGAAAACTCCAAAAAACGTACCTCGGCTTCTCATTCGCATTCTCGTCGTCATCGTTGCCGATTGTGTAGAGATTTCGATAGTAGTGAACTTGTTGCCCGGCCCGGACCCAACCCGGCCGCCCGCTCGTCGCCTCGGTCACGGAGAACATCACCGGCTGCATCCCTGAAATAAAGGCATCATTTTCTTTACAGAAGCTTGAACTCAAAAAATTCTAAAATAAAAAGCTTTAGGGTTTTAAATTTCAAAATATCACTTTAATTCTTGCCGACCCACCTTTCCCAAACATGCTCGTTGTCTTGAGGTTGTTGATGATCTCAAACGTGTAGGGGACGTTGGCGCGGTTGTTCGAGATCTCAAAGTAGAACCACTGGAAGTGGTCGCGCGTCTGGTTGATGTCCGGCGACAGGATCAACTCGTAGTGGTTGGGGCCGACCTGAAAAAAAATTCTAAATTTGGCTAAAGTGAAGTAAAAAGGCTAGGTTAAAATTTTGAAAATCCCAATCAAAAAGTTTTTAATTTATCTTCAAAACAAACCAGGGTGGCCATTCGCAAATTTCCGCTTTCAAATCGGCTCTCGAACATCAAGTTGCTGATCGACGGGCTGGGCCGGCCAATCCTAAAAATTAAAAATCGTCTAGAAAACAAAAGAAACTACAGGGTGTCCCAAAAAAAACGACCCATCTGGCATTTCGCCGTGTTGCATCCAATCGGTCCCAAATTTGGACCAGAGGTGTATCGGACCCTAAATAACAACAATCCTTACTTATAGCCCTGTAGCAATAGTAGTTCTCGTGTTATAGCGAAAACAAACTTTATTTTCCATTTTTCATAGGGTTTTCGTGGAATTAGACCCCCTAAACATTAAGCGAAAATGATCCGGTAGGCCTTCTTCACCCTAAGAAATTTTTTCCAAAGTAAAATTGATTAAATAAACTTTGATTTAAGCGATTTTTACAACGCAAAATTACGCAAGTTCTTGAGCGAAATTAGGGATTTGTAGCCGGAAGTCGATGCAAATCGATGCAAAGTCCAAAAAGATAGCCGAAAAAATGCTTCAGAATTCCGGTAAAAACAGTATTTTCGTTATAACTCGAGAACCACAATAGCTACAGGGCTATAAGTCAGGATTGTTGTTATTTAGGGTCTGATACACCTTTAGTCCAAATTTGGGACCGATTGGATGTAACACGGCGAAATGCCAGATGGGTCGTTTTTTTTGGGACACCCTGTATACCGCTGCTCGTCGATGTTCATCAACTGCTCGGCGGGCCGGTCGGCTCCCGAATGGACATCGCTCAGCTCATCAATACAGTAGACGACCCGCCGCGAAAAGTCGCTGCTCGCTCGATTCTGCGTCACGATTGAGCTGGAATTTGTTTTTGAAGATTTTTTTCTTTTCCCACTTTCCTAATAAAATAAAGACATTTTTACTATATCTAGACGCAAAACCGTTAAAACCCTTTTTTAATAAAAACAGCACTTTGGATACAAATTTCAAATTTCAAAAAAATTCCAGGTTTTCGGAAAGGTTTTACTGTAAAAACATCTGGCTAATATTACTAGAAACTAGGCAAATGAGAAAAATTCAATCCCCCGCCCCCGATAATGCAAAAGTACCGAAGGAATGCGCTTACCGCAAAGCCGACGAGCTGGCTTGCAGCGGCTGCATGTCCAACGCCACATCCGGACCGCAAAATTCTGGGTAGGCGATTTTCACAAAGCGGATGATCGAACGAGTGCTCTAAAGAAATTTTCAAAAGTTGAACAATCTAAAAAATACCCGCACTTCCGTTTTGATCGCCTCCCGATGTCCAAAACTCAGGTCCTCGCCCTCCGTCTCCACGGCACCATCGCGGAACTCCGAAAAGGTACTGAAAAGCGGTAAAAAAAAAACAAATTTTTTCAATGAACCTCGAGTAGTTCTCGAACAGTTCGGCGGGCTTTTGACGGCTGTACTCGGCGGGCAGGTCCTTCTCGGCGGCCGCGTCTTCCTAAAAGTGAAAACTTAGTTAAAATTCTTTGGAGTTGCTCTATTTCCTCAAAAAAAATCTCAAAGCTTGTTTACGTCAAAAAGAAACTAAAAAAATGCACCTCCTCACTGTGCGAGTGTTGCCCGTCGTCCAGCGACTCGTCGACAAATTTTTGCAGGTCGCGGCTCTCGAGAAGGTTAAGGAATTGGTCCTCCTCGGCTTCATCTTCGTCTTCTGAAAACGATGCTTAGTTTTTCGGTTCCTTCGTCTCATCGGGGGTGGGGGATCCAATTCTTCTTTGGGGTCCAGAAATGCTTAGTCATTTAATCATAGGTATTATAATTGTGTTTTCAGTAATTTGGAACTATATTTCAAGTAGTAAACCTATCTGAAAATTTAGAAATCTTTTTACAAAAATAAAATTTTGGTCGAAATAAAAAATTGTTGGTACAATTTTTGTTCTAAATCATCGTGTTTTTGTGTTTGTTTAAAGAAAGTTTATCCATTTTACCTTCAGGAATATTCAAGAAAAAAACAGTTCAAAAACGCAGGCGCTAATTAATCAGAAAAATGCATAAGGAAAAAAGCTAAGGGTTTTAAAGCGTCTTTTTTTTACTGTCTTTACTGTTTTTAACAAAAATAGAACTTTTTTTCAATGCACAAAAGTACACTTTTTAAGCTGAATTTTTGAACTGAAGCTCCCCTACCCGACGAAGAGCCATCGCTGTACACCTCTTCCAGGGAATGGGAGTAGGAATATTTTAAGAATCGAGACCTTAGCCAAATTGTTTTCAGGACAACCATCCCTTTGCTCCAGAATGACCAACAGCCATCGAGATGATGATGGTCGGCAGGGCTGCGCGTTGGCAGTTTCCAGGCGAAAAAGTACCCGTTTTTCAGCGTTGGCGGGGGACGTCATTGCCGGGGCCCATTTCTCGAGGGTCAGTACAAACAGTTTGTAGCTCTGGGTTCTGGGTAACCCCCCGTGCGAACGAACACCTATCGGCTCACCGGATACCGGAACGCACGAAAAAGTTGTGTATCGATTTTGTAGGTTGGAGTTTGTAGTTCTTGATAGATCTTGATAGATTTTTGATCAAAATGGCCGGTACGAGGATAAAACTTCTTTTTTTCAGAAGTTATAGTTTTTTTAGTAAATTTTCGTTGTAATATAGTTAAATCTTACTGAAAACGCTACTAATACTTACTATTACATTAATAAGCAATTATGGCTGTGGAAAAAAATGGGATTTCGGGCATTCACGTAAATACAAAACTACAGGCTACACCACATAATGTACAGATGCTATATTTTTATAAAAGTGATTGTAGTCTGCACAGTCTACAATCACCAATCCTCACCACTCGAGGGCGTCGACGATCCCTCAAGCTCCCCGGGGGCGGCGGTGCTCGGCCTCCTCGCCCCCGCCAGTGATGCTCGAACAGCGCGTCCCTGCTCAGCCGCCGAGGCGACACTCTAAAATGTGGATATTTTGGCTGGGCATTTTTTGATTTTTGATTTGATCGCAATTTAGCTTCAACCGGCTATTCCCGGTCTGGAAAGCGCTAAAATCTTCCGGCTTTTCGTTTTCCCCCTAGAAGCTTCATCTCGCCAAGCTTTGGCTGTTTATGAAATCGGGCCCGGTTAGCCCGTCAAAATGTTCGCACGTTTCCAGCGCTCCCCCAATCGATTTTCAATGTCTCCCGGGGGCGTTTCGCCGGCTTTTCAACGAAAAAACGCACGAAGGTGTAGGGGAAGGTGGCGGTGGCGGGCAGCGGAAACGGCCGGGTGGACATGCAGCGTAGACACAGCGCGCATAGGGACTCCTGGAAGCGAAAAAAAATAGATTTTTCAACCGTGAATCCGCAGAATTCATTATGTAAATTGAAAAACCCCTAGAAATTTCGAATTGTCCTGTTTTATCGGCGGCCTTTTCATGAGCCAAATCGTTCGAACCGAAAGACGGCTGAAAATTCTCCGAAAAAGCGCAATTCTCCAGAAAAAAAAGGATTTTTGAGGCACGGAGCTACAGTATTCATTATGAAAATTTAAAAATACAGTTAAAACCGAGAATTTATAATTTTTGGGCTTTTACGAGGATCCTAAAATCGAAATTTCGGGGATTTTATGAGAAAAAACTTTGGAGCCCGAGTTCGACGATCCTCTAAAACAGCTTTAAAAACTTGAGTGCGCATTTCTCTGAAAAACAACTTCCGGATGCCCCAAAAAAAAATAAAAAAACCTATTTGCTCGGTTTCAGGGCCTACTAAGGATTTTCAAGAACTGAAATCTACCTAGAGCATAGAGCCTTCCTAGGGGGACTACAAATTTCCCTAAACAAGGCTTGAAAAACCGAAAAAGCCCCAAAAGGCTGCATGGCCCTGCGGTGATTGCCGGGCCCGCGGTCCGGAATAGGACGAAAAAATTACACGGATACGTTGCCCAAAGCAACCGCTTTTGGGGGAATGGCCCCGGCCAGCAACCCCTATCAAATGGCCATTTCCTCGTTGCACCGGGGGCCAACCTGGGAAGAAAATAAAACTCAGCGCGACGGGTTGAAAATAGAAAATTGAATATGCTTTGTTCTCAACAAAATACGGATGTGCATTATCGGGGGGGGGGGGTGAATTTTTGCATAAATCCAGAACTGTAAAGACAAGTATTTTACCAGCTATTTTAGCAAAATTAAACTGCCTTCTAGCGGAAAAGCTATAAAAACTAAGAATTTGGAAAAAATGATATTTTGGTGGAATATTCGGTATTTTGGGCCAAAAATTCTATATTTTTGTATTTTGCAAGGAAAATTTGATAAAAACCGTCTGTTTTTCTAAAAAAAACCAAAAACAAAGCCTTTTATCTGAAAACAAGTAGGCTCAATCTTTTCGGGCTAACAAATTTGCAAATGCCTTTTGTTACCGCGATATTGCTAGATTTTTCAGGATACTGTATTTGCTCTTTATCTTATTTTCTGTAATTTTCTCCTCTCATTTCTCACGCAACCCCGAAAAAACCCCAATCTAGCTAGCCCCACCAGTGCTTCCTTATCATCATCGTCTTTTTTTGGTTATCAGCCGGGACGAAGAAAGAAATCTCTTATCGGGTTGGGGGCACACCCTTCCCCGCCTTTTGAGATGGTTTTCAGGTCACCGTGCGCGACAAGTTGTCGCCCATAAATCATCCATCCATCTACTACGGTACTCTTATCGCCATATAACTGCCTCATCTGTACGGTCTTTACGATTCCAAAGGTGACAATTGGGTTTTGTTGAGGGTTGGAATCGTATAGTGGAGGGAAGAGAAACTTCGGAACTCGTAATTCCGGAACCGTCCTCTGAACGTTTTCAGCGGTCCTCGATTTTCAAATATTGAGGTTTTGAGCTTCAAATAAAGCTTTTCAAGCAAACTTCCAAAGTTGCTTTTGGATTCAAATTGTCCAGTTTTTGAGCTCACTGTAGGACCACTTCCGTAACTTTAAAGGGACACGCAAGGAATGTCCATAGATTCCGGACAAATGGCCACGCCGCGACACGCAACGCGATCCGCTTGGCCGTTTTGAGCGAATCGGAATCAATTACGAGCGGAAAAGGCAGGCGTACGCGTCGCGTGCCCACAAAATCCACAATCTTGCCTTACCCGGACCTTTAATGCGCCTCTAGAAAATGCAACTCCACGCGATTTCAAAGGCTTTCAAATCTCTATCCGAACGAAAAAAGAAGTCGAAATTAACATAGTTTCAAAGCTAGCTTCAAAATTTATCCGAGTTACAGTATGCGTTAGACCGCCTCATTTTCTCAATGGGGTCCCTCTTAAAAAAATACATTCATCCCATACAATCTTTTTTTTCCTCAAATTCCAATCCTACCGTACCCAGGCTCCCTAAATTATGTCAATTTCTCGGGGGCCGAGTCCCCCCAGAGAGGATGGGGTGTTCGCGATTCCGGGCGCCGATAAGGTGAACACAGGGCCGGCCGGCCGAACGTTCGATTCCCGGGGAGAGAGAGAGATGAGAGAGAGAGAGAGCGAGCGAGCGAGGGAGAGAGAGCAACAGAAAGAAAGCCGGTGATTTCACAGCCCTTCCTCCACAAGTGTGTTGGGTGTGGATGGGGCGGCACGGGTCGTCTCGGCCGATCTGCATAAAAAGCGGCCCGGGGCGCGATCGCGGACCTCTCTCTTTCCGAGAGACAGCCATATCGTTCACATATATACACATTTCATTGGCGGAGGTCTATTCCCGGGGCTTTTGTCTGTCTCTGTCCGTCTGTCCCGGGGCCAGTTCGTTACCGGTGGGGGGTTTCTTATTTTCTTGTACGCTCCCTATAATAAAATAGCGTTTTTAATACATTTTAACGACGCTTTTAGACATAAAATGTCTATACAAAATTATGAACTAAAATTTCTTTGATTTTTTGGTCAAAAATACTGAATAATTTCGGGAATTTTGATTTTTTAACCATTTTTATACTTTTTTAGAACAAGGGCCAATAGGGAAAGCACTATAAAAATAGACTACGCTTTATTACTATCGCGGTTAGGCTTAATAAAAAAGCTACCCCCCCCCGTTAACGCAACAGAACCGACTATGTCTGTCCTTCCGTCTTTTCAGTCGGTTCTGTTTGTCTGTCTGAATTTTCTGTATTGATGTGCCTGAGTCGCCCCCGCTAACGAAACAGCACCAACTCTGTCTGTATGCCTGTGTTTTCCGTCGGTTCTGTCTCTGTCCTGTATGTCTTAAATTGTCTTTGCCCCCCGCTAATGAAACAGAAACGCCCATGTCTATCTGTCTGTTCGTGTTTTCAGTTGGTCCTGTCTCCCTGTCTGTTCAGCCTGCTCTACCTGTCTGTCTGTCTGTCTGTCTTTTTCTCTGTCCATGTCTGTCTGTCCCTGTGTGTGTGCTCATTTCGCGGCGACGAGACGGGGCATAAAGGCCGGCTCCCGAGAACCGTATTGATTCGTTCGACCCTTTGGGGCCCCGCCTCCAGCCCCCCCACCAGCAGCCGATCTCCACCGCCACCAGACCGCTTATCTGCCCTGTATTCGATCCGCCGGCCCGCTACAGACCACCTCCTCCTCCTCCTCACCACATCCAGCCATTCCCCCCCCCCCCTAGGGTAAGTAGGTGTCAACCGGAATTCCGCTACCATACTCTTTCCCCGGGACCTCGGGCCTAATTTGCATACGGCGGTCTGACGGGCATACCCCCGGGGGCTAGTCACCCATTAAAAATGCGCATATCTCATCGTATTCTCGATGGGTTTTTGAGTAGATTACGGTATTCGAGGCGCAAAGTTAAATTGTAGGATTTTCAAGAACTTTACCGCGATTTTTAGCAGTAGAAGATCCAAATTTTTTCAATACGGTAATCCTTTTGAGTTTACTGGTTTCTTTCTAAAAAGCTTTACTAATTAAAATGTACAGTTTTTAGGCAAGCTATAAATAAAAATTGTTTTCGCTAGCTTGAAGCCCGTCTCTCCATTAATTAAAAATAGTTTTAACTCGAGACAAATATTCGATGATTTTTAGCAGTTTCCAATTTCCAAAATTTCCTATCGACGCGATTCGAGCCAGAGAAGACTCGCCAATATTCTCTGCTAGCCTGCCTTCAGCTAAACATTCCAAAAATCACTCAAAAATCATTTCTAGCCTCCCATCTACCGTAAAGCGGTGTCCTTTTTTCAAAGGTGTATTCCAATAATCGTAGCGCAGTCCTCTTGCACAGGGCGCAAACTTTTACACTTTAGTCGGGCCCAGTGAGAGAGAGAGAGAGAGAGAGAGAGAGAGCGAGAGAGAGGGCCCATCTAGCCGCGGCCGTGGGGTGAAAGCGGGCGGGGTGGACTCGCCCCAATTGATCGATTGACCAGAGGAGGTAGTGGTTGTGTGTTTGTACGTATCATGCCTGTACGTATTCGTCTCCCCCCCCCCGCCCTTTTGACCCATCATCGAGGGGCGTAACTGACGATCTGCAACGAGTTCAGCGCGTTGAGATCATCAACTACGCCTCTTGACGGCGGTCACTTGATTTTTGGCTAATATTCCGCTCCCTACCCATTGAAATCGGCCATATTGAGCGGCGTAGCTGACGGTTCTTTCAACCAGTGTTTATGGTGTTGAGATCATCAACTACGCTGCTCAATTAGGCTGTTTAGAGAGATTGTCTTAGCGTCACCAAATTTTCAAAAATTCCTAATTTTATATGCATTATTTCCGGAAATTTTTTAAAATTTAAATGGCCCTAAAGTTCCCCGTAATTTGCCTGAGCTCTTGAAAAAAAATCCGCTATCTTTTAAAAACTGCTATATGTAGCGTTTTTGACGTGGAAAAAAGCCTCGAAGCGGAAGCACAAACTCGCCACGGCATTCCATGGAGGCACGGATAGGACCCCCCGGGGCCGCGGCGCAATCGGTTAGCGCCGATCCCAAATCTCAAACAGAGGGTCCGGGTTCGACCCCCGGGACCAACGTGCAACCGCTATTTCTCCCCAAAACCTTTGCCAAGCTTTTGCGTTTTGCTTAAAAACTGTGCTCCAGCCATTGAAAACTGCTAAAACAATAAGGATCTGGAAAAATTAACCCGATCAAAAAGAGACGGTTGATCCACTGGCGTACATTTTCGCAAAACAGTCATTTGGAGCCATTTTAAGCGTCGATTTCACGCACTGGGGGGTAATCGACCTTGATTTTACCGAATCTAGGCTCAGATTTCAGCGACAATCCTTGGTTGCTGCGCTATTTGAAACCGCACAAAATCCTGAGCTGAACTTCAAAAGACCATCACAAAAAAAGTACCAGAATAGATTTTCGATAGTTAGGTCTCAAAATCTGCGCCTTGGCGTCTAGAATATTTAAATCTAATTGAGTTTCTAATTTTTCTATTACATTTCGAGAAAAATCCAGTTTTGTCCAAAAGTTTGTTCGTTTTCGAACAAAAACGTAGCGAGCGCGCTGTCCCCTTGTGCAAGGGAGCCTGCCGTAGCCCAAAAGCTATCCGTGCCTGCCTGTTAAAGCCTGGAATGGCGTGTCGCACACCTATTTTAAAGCCCTTGAAAACCAAAAAAATCGTCATTTCGTCAGAAAACCTCCAAAAACTCACTAAATCAAGAACCAAAAAATCCGCGGCTCTAGGATCACGCACCAATGAAAACTATATTTTTCCACGTAACAGATTGCACAACCAATCAACACTATTCAAACCACAAAAAAGTTTAAAAAACACAAACCTGCAGCTCGATCGCCACGGCCTCCTTCGGCCCCTTCTCGTCGGTAAGCGCTATCGCCTGCTCGCACAGCCGAACCGTGTCCAGCCCCATCAGCTTCTCCTTGGCTTTTACTAGATTAAAAATTTGTTTGAAAAGTTAAATTTGACTCACTGTTCCGCACCAACAATCTCAGCACACCGGTGGCGACGAGGCACACCTCTTCTCGGATGTCGGGCAGGCTCTGGAAATCGAAATTAAATATTAGCGGCGTGATAGAGAGAGAGAGAGAGAGAGAGAGATAAATTCTTACCTGCGAGCCGGTGCTCAAGTTCTGCTTCCAGACGTCGTGCAGCGTGGCGGTGGTATGGTGAGCCAGGTGCGTGCGGGCTTTTCCTAAACAGTTTTTTCCGCTTACAAAAAAAAAACATTTAAAAAACCTACTAAACCAAGGGAATAATTTTTGAAAATATTTATTTATTTACAAATAAACATTCATATTGAAAAATAGTTTTAAAGACTCGGATCCACAAATGGTATTTGCCAGCCTGCCTTTTAAATGCAGTTAAATCTAGCCCGTATCCCAAAGAATCCCTGCAAGCCTGCCTGAGTTCTATCTTAGAGATCTAGAGCGCTAAAATAAAGAAATAACTAAAAAAATAGAAACGCAAATGAAAATAGCTCTCCCCCGGCAAGCGGGCCTGGGACCCAAAAGGCCAATGGTCAGTTGGTAGATGGCCAGGTGGCCAGAGGAAGCGAAACGTGATCCAGCACCCCCCCGGGGCAAAAATCAGCTGGATAAGACGGGGCGAAAACAACACAAAAAAAGTCCGCTGGGTCTTTTTGAGCACCTTATGGGCCCATAACACTGTGGGGTGATGGCCCGGAAAGTGTAACTCTAGGCGAATTCACGCCTCCCGCAATTTTATGGATTTGGAAAGGAGGAAGAGTCTAAAATGAAGTTTTTTTTCAGCTGCCGGCCCAAGAATTCGCTCAAAATGGCTGGACAACTCGTATAAAATTTGGCGTCTAAAGGAAAGGTATCCTATCAGTTTGTTTAACCAACTTTTTAGAAAAAAATTGAAAAACTCACTATTCTTCGCTAACAAAAACACAATCTCCAGCCATCGCGCGAGCGCCAGTAGCAGATTTTCCGAAGCGGAATCGTCCTAAAGTAGCTTTTTCTTCAGCTAAAAACGCCTTACCCGATCTTCGTCGTCTCGCTGAAGCCCGGCGATTTGCTGCTGAATTTTTTCAAGGTTCCCAGGAGGCCGGGAGATCAGCTGGGCGTTTCGGGCTAAAAATTTAGCTTGTAAAGGTTGGAAAAAGCCGCTACCTGTCCTAACGCCTCTACACAATAATTTGAGGAGGGAGACCCAGGGCTGGCCGTGGTCGGTGACGATGCGATCGAAGATCGGGGTTAAAACGGCGCCCATCCGCAGCTTCAGGGGTAGTTTTTGGTCTGAAAAAAGCAAGAAATTTTTGAACCCTTCAAGGGTAGCTTTCTGCTTTTCTTAAAATCCCTTTCTCAGCTCAAAACACTATTTTTCGAAGTTTTGGCTTTTTTGAAAATCACTTTTCATCTCCCAGGCTCGCCAAAACAAAGATCACGTTTTTCTGGGCCCTATAGATAACGGCCTAACTTCCTCATGCTCCGGATACTCCTACGCAAGGTCATTTTGTCAACTCCTGCCAATTGGAGGCCGATTTGTGAGTGATCGAGCGATAGCATCGGCACGTACCCTTGACTGCCACGAGCAGCAAGACGCTCGACAACCGATCGACGCTCTCCATCGAGCCGTTGCCCTTCAACAACGTCCGCATGGCGCGCAGAAGCGGGGAGGTTGCATCGAGGCGCTTCAATTTCTTCAATCTCTTCGATCGGGCTAAAAAATTGAGGTAATAAGTAATTTTTAGCACTTATTTCCAACTTTTATCCGAATTTTAAGACGTTTTCCAGGCAATACACTACCAAACTGCCCGGTAGGTGCCTTTCTTCCCCACTCGCAATCAGCCAAGGCCGATTGAGGCGCCGTGGGCGGTCCAGCCAAAGATAAGGGCCTATCGTCCGCGCCAGACCTGTCAATCAGACTTACCGGTGGCGGTTCCTTGTAGAAGATAAGCCTCGAGGACGTCCAATAACCCATGGAGCGCCGGCGGATCGGGGACTTGCTAAAACTTTACTATAATACCTTCCAATTAAATGCAGTAACTTTCATGACAACCGTATTTTTGCTCACTATTCAAAAGTGTGTTAGAAATCATTTTCTAAGCGGAAAAGAACACGATTTTGCAGCGCCAACGGGGAAAAGGCCAAAATTCAGTGAGTTAGTTCATAAATACCATTTACTAAGCCTTTCAAAATTAGAAGACAAACCTCAATAGTGCGTAGGAGAGTTAGTAGATTCTTTTCAACGGAAACTTCTAGCATCAACGATTTCTTAGAGGTTGGAGAGGCCAGCCGCTCGTCAATTTCAGAGACCAAGCTGCTTCGTCTCCCGGAATCGTTGGCGGCACAGGAGGCCAAGAGCGGCCGCAAGAAGCCCTCATCGCTGTAATTTCCAGGTTAAAGCAAGACGGCATGCTTTGGAGAGCTTAGCACACGTTATTGTGTGCTCGGAGATGTTAGAACGCTTTAAAAAGACTGTTTTAACTTGAAATTTGAAAATCCTGCAGAAAAAGCAGATAATTTTACCTTGTCCCCGGCTCGCTCGACGCCGCCTTCAATTCGATGCGCCGGACCATCGCTTAGGCCATCTACAGCCGACTACGTCACGATGAAGCTTGCAAAAACAGCCAAGAAACCTCTTTGCGCCAATCCTGTATGCTTAGCTGTACGAACCGAAAATTCTTTCAAGAAATTTATTGACAAGACACAAAAATGAGCACGAGAAATAGGGACTGTTCGTCCCTGGGGGACTAGAAGCACAACTAATCGCCGAGTAAAGCAACTAAAGACAGAAATTAATTAATTGATCCTGTTGGTCTGGAGCGGCGGGACGTCTACAAGCCGTAGCTGCCGCCGGCCTGAAAAAGGAGGGGTAAGGTATTGAAGAGGGGGACAACCGCGTGCGCCACGTAACCCCTAGTGACCGAACAACAGAATTTTATAAATTCTCCAATAAGGCGCAGCGGCTATATAAAGCCTGGAAAAACTTCCACACCTAATAGAAAATTTAAACGCAAGAAGCTTTTTCTAGGATAGAGTGTAGGCAAGAAGCTTTTGAACTGACAATAACCGATTTCGGTACTATTCAAGTTCGGGGGGCAAAATTTTTTTGGTTCATTTTCGGTCATTCTTCTTAGTTTTTCTTAGCGCTTAGCTTAGTATTCGCTTAGTTTAGGCTCAGGCTTAGCTTTGGGCGGGGCGAACTACTCTTGCCTTAGCTTAGCTTTTCTTAGCTTCGCTGTTTTTGGCTTCGGCTTAGCCCTGTTCAAGCTCGATTTAGCTGAGCATCAGCTTAGCTTAGCTTGGAAGTAGAGCATTGCGCTTGATTAGCCGTGAAAAATCGAAAAAGTAGCCCAAAAATGACATCGAAAAAATTTTGCCCCCCTAACTTGAATAGTACCCCGAATTCTGTTAAACTTAATTGCTTTAACTAGAAAAACTTACGTTAATCGCATCGCATTCTTCTTGTGAAATAAGCGGTCGGAGAAACCTGCAAAAACAGAATAAATCGAAAATCTACAGTATTGAACCGTTTCGGCGTCTGGGCTTCGGGAATTCCCTGTCCGCGTGGAATCTTGCCAACAGCTCCAATTGAAGTGGGCTTGGCGGCCGAAAGAGGGGAAACTGAAACGACTCTATCGTATTTTAAAAAAGCATATCTTGGCGTATTAGAAGTGCTAAAAACTGACCAGCGCTTCCGGCGACCTGCAGCGGTGGCAGGCTGGCCCTGAAAAAAAACAGAAATAAGCTAGTTGCCGGCTTTCTTACCTGTTAAAATTCGGCTTCGGCAATCGGGCGCCAACGAATTTGATCATCGGAATTCGGGCAGCCTGAAATTAAATAACTTCGGGTGGACAAGAAATCACTTACTGCAAAGACCGTTGTTTGAAGATGCATCTTTTGCGTTTGTACAGGTGGTCGTGGGGGATTGGCAATCGGCTAAAAAAGATATGAATTTTTGTAAGCTGACGATACCTGTGGTGAAGACCCTGGAGAAGAACTTGTACGTATCACTGGCGGGACGGCGACTGACTTGGCGGACCTGGCGTGATCGGTCAAAGCTGGCTTTGATCCGAACAAGTTCAGAAGCCTTTCGAAGAACCGCAAGCGGACGAGTGGCCTAGAAAAATAGTTGGTAAACGCAAAATCTTAGCCAGCCTCCCACTACGTTAACAAAAAGCAGTAAATTATAAGGTGAGGGTTGCGGAGAGGGATTGGGTTTGAGGGAAGAAAAATACAGTTTACTAGTCGATTCCTAAAAGCAATTATTTTTAAAAAGCAACGCCCTATCTGGAACCTGTTTTAGATAATTGAGGGGTTAGAAGTTGTGCGGACTCGAAAAATGAGTACGTGGAAAATTCGTCAGTGGTGATGGGCCGATCGCAGAAGAGCGTGCTAGGTTTTTTTTCTAAACTTTCTAGTGGACCGAAGCAAGACAACACAGCGACAGCACGACAGACACGAGCACAACAGAATGTTGCGTCAAAGATTTACGTTTTTTGCAAAAAGGCAATTATGGACATTCGCAGGTGGTCGTCTTCTGTCTAAAGGGAATGATAATAAGACATTTCCAATCTACTATATATAAATTTCTAATGTCCGTGCGCCCGACCGCGACCGGGAATTCAACGTGCCCCCAGGGCATGTCCCGGGGAGAGGGGGGAGGGGCCAGAGGCAGGCCCGTAGGAAGGGGGGGGCAACTGGGGCAAGTTGCCCCCCCCAAAATCGGCCGAAGGCCGAAAAATTCATAAGGGGGGACCCTTATGATTTTTTTTCGTGAAAATTTTTTTGCCTGCGGCGCTTTTTATAGTTGTTTTTAAGACTGTTTTTACTGTCATAGCCCTAAGTTTTTCAAAATTTTCGCCTGCGGCGCTGTTTTTGATAGTTTTGATACGTTGCGAAAAATTTTTTTTGGGAGTTGCCCCCCCCAAAAATCGGGGATCGCTACGGCCCTGGCCAGAGGTCACAGGGGCCGTTCGCGCATTAATGGTAGCAGGAATCCCCAAACAAAAGAATAATTGTTTCGCAACGGTTTTTTTTGCTTTTTTAGTATCAAAGTAGGGAAATAACTTTCTTTCAAGGGTATTCTAGCCATTACGCGTTTCTTAGATGTTTTTTTAGTATCGAAGAAGGGAATGAACTTTCTTTCAAGGGTATTCTAGCCATTACGCGTTTCTTAGATGTTTTTTTAGTATCGAAGAAGGGGAATAACTTTCTTTTCAAGGGTATTCCAGCCATTACGCGTTTCTTAGATGTTTTTTTTTTAGTATCGTAGAAGAGATTTAACTTTCTTTTCAAGGGTATTCTAGCCATTAAGCGTTTCCTAGATGTTTTTCAGTATTAAAGAAGAGGTTTAACTTTCTTTTCGAGGGTATCTAGCCATTACGCGTTTCCTAGATGTTTTTTTAGTATCGAAGAAGGGGAATAACTTTCTTTTCAAGGGTATTCTAGCCATTACGCGTTTCTCAGATGTTTTTTAGTATCTAAGCAGGGGAAATAACTTTCTTTCAAGGGTATTATAGCCATTACGCGTTTCTTAGATGTTTTTTAGGAGCTAAGAAGGGAATGAACTTTCTTTCAAGGATATTCTAGCCGTTCCACGAATCTTAGGTGTTTTTTTTAGTATCGAAGAAGGGATACAACTTTGTTTCACAGAGAATTCTGGCCATTCGGCAATTCTTAGATGTTTTTTAGTATCAATGAAGGGATCTAACGTTGTTTCAAAGGGTATTCTAGCCATTACAAGTTTCTTCTATGATGAGGGTATAGCTTTACTTCTAGGGGGTGCGGCAACCATTAGACTTCCCTTCTCTTTTTGTTTAGGATCAGCTACGGATGTTGGGGGGTTTCTTTCAGGGGGAATAGGAGGAGTGGAAGGATCTTTGGTTTTGGAGGAGGTGCATAGGTAGATCACGGAAGGTATCCGCGCCAATCGGGAAATATACTAAAGAGAATGGGAAGCACCCTGTATTGCCTTGCCCCCCGGGAGGGCCAGTCGATAGCAGCCGCGAAGCGGCTGTTATCGACTGGTACATAATAAAGGTTTTAAAAAAGGTAAAAGTTTTATTTTTAAAGTTTAGTTTTTGGTTTCTTTTCTTCAGAGAAACCGGGCCTAATGGGCGCACAGTTTTCAGGGATTTCCTTTGTCGCGCCGGGGTTGATTCGCGATTTGTAGCGCGCCGTACGCAACGCGGTAAGTTAAAAAATATAAATGGCGCTTTTATTACTTTTACAGTCTTTCTAAAATTTTACTTTTAAAGTAATACAAACTTCTAACGATGCAGATTGAATTGGTTTACAGGTTGGTTCTTTTCAAAAGTCATTATATCGTTTTTAGAAAGGGTGAGAACCCGATTATGATAGAGCTGCACGGATCGCTGGATTCGGCTTTACAATTCGATGGTCAACTTCTAGGTATTATTGCCCAGATAATGACTATAATACGATTTTAGGCTGTTTACAATGGTTGACCGAAAAGGAGGCCATGCTCGCCGTGGGTACCCAAATTATTCGCGGAAAGCTCATCGAGGTAAGGTTTTTTTGACTCGACAAAAACGTAGGAATTTTAGCTCGACCAACCGCTACTCCTCGTCAAGCCACACAACGTCGACGAGCTTGAAGAGACGGTAGGTGCTTGAATTACTTTAATCCCTAAAATCAGTAATTCCAGGACGGAGGTGAGGTCGAAGTCTCACATATCGTCACGCAAAAACTGGTGTTCAACTCCAAGCCCGTCGACATCATCGACACGTTGATGCCAAAATTGGAAAGCAAGGAGGATGGGACGCTCTCGCAAATGTCGCAGTGATTGCTTTGTAACTTTTCATTTTCCATTTATCATTTCTCATAGCATCGGGTCTGTATTTCGGGTTTGTAATATTTTACTTTTTAAGCGACTTTTCTGTGCATTCCGATTTTGCTTTACATTTCCTACATTAGTAAAGCTTTATTCCGTCCACCTATCCAGGCGTAAAAGCACTTCATAAGGGGTGGGACACAGGCAACCAGGTGACAAAAGTTATCGCCGAGGTATTCTAGACGACATTCTAAAGTGGATAGCTGCGGTTTGCTAGCTGAAAAAAATGACTTGTGGCCGGCCGTCAATCACAGTACGTATGAATGGGAAGTTATGAGATTTTTGTTGTGACAACGGAGAGGGTTTTGGGCTTTTGAGAAAAGACTGGTTTTGCGAAAGCACCGGGAGACACATGGAATTCGGGGAAGGCCACTGTAAATGGGATAATCTCTTGGGTAAGAATTTTAGAGGAGATGAAGTGAGGGCCTGTATTGGTTTTTCTCCAGGTAGAATTGGCGTCGAATCTCGGGGTCTGAGACGGTTAGCCAATGGTATCTAAAAAATTGGGGTTTTGGTGATCTGGTGATCTTACCTGCTCGGGCTTTTGATCGGCGCCTTTCCGGCAGATTTTTTGTGCTCGCAGAACAGGCGAACCTGAAAATATAGGTTTTTCCAATGTGTTTTTGTAATGTTTGTCATATTTTGGCGTTTAAACGTTTTTGAACGTGTTGGACCCACCTGCAAGCCGTGTGCGATACTTTCCATGGGTGTCGGTGCACATCGTAACCGGACGATTTGTGACGGGACGAACAGGGCGTTTGAACCCTCGTCGAGAAGGTGCTAGAAAAGATAATGTACATCAGTATCCGTAAGTTCTAGTAAAAGTAAGGTTCTTCAACCACTTACCCTATAACATTTAGAGATGACCATCGCAAAGAAGTACTCGAAGCCGAATTCACAAGTCGGAAATGGCTGGTCATGGGCCGCCATGGCCTGCTCGGTGGTGATTGACTTGTGGACGAGCACGTCGACTCGGGTACTGAAACCGAAATAAAATTATTTTCAGAAACTTACTCGTCTTTGTTGTATTTACAAATCATGAACTCGACGAAAAGCCCGGCGTACGGCTCGTTGACTGGCAAAATTGGGGGCACGTTGGCGAAGCGTTTAGCCGTCCGATAGGCCAGCCCTTCGTCCACCAATTTCAGGAAGTCTCGGCCCCTGGAAGGTATATTTTTAACGCGTTAAAAGTTTTTAAAAGAGATAATTTTTAGAAGATAAAATAAAAGAATAAACATGTTTTCTGAAAAAAATACAGTTTTTACGCGGTTTTTTTGACTTCAAGTTTGTTGCTCAAAGTGTTTAATAAAAGATAGAAGTAAAAAATGAAGCCGTAAAAGGCGTTATAAGTTAAAAAATAAATGGTTGATGCGTTTAAGCGTTTCTCCCGTCCATTTAGTTGCTAAAAGTCTTGGATAAAAGGCCATAACCTAAGGAATAACGCTTTAAAACTTATAAGTTGTTAAAAAGTACGGATTTTTACGCTTTTCCTTGCTTTTCGCGTCACTTACCTCAATTTCACCGGTGGCTTCGAAGACGTGATCTCCTTCACCTTGAACCATTGTGCTTGCAGTGATTCTCGGTCTGGATAATCTTTGAGGGTGCCTCCTGTGACCGTTGCGACATAGGCAAACCGGTACCACCCGCTGCCTTGGATCTGGAAAGCGGCTTTAAGGTATATCTTTTAACGTATACACGGTAAGGTAGAATTTTTACCTGCATCGATAGCATTTCATTGACCTCAACCGTATATCCGGCTTCTTCCAAAACTTCGCGGTGGACAGATTCCTAAATATATGAAAATTTTAGGCAATTCGGCCGAGCTTACAATCAATGTCTCGCCAGCCTCCACTCGTCCAGCTGGGAGATACCACTTCTCGTAGCAGCTTTTCTTGGCTTCTTGGATGAGGAGGATTTCGGTGTCGTCACCATCGCCGCGCAAGATTACAGCTGCCGCGACGTAGTTGACGTTATCATGTAGGCGGACGAATCGAGCTCCTAGACGTTTAAAAAAATGGATTTTTCGATTTATTTTTTAATTCAGCTGTAATTAAACTCGTTTAGTTTTCTCTTGGTTAAAAGTCTACAAAAAAGCCTTCGTAATTTAGCTACGATTAAACCTTCTTAGGTTTAAATGGGTAAAACAATACAAAAAGCTATGTTTAACTGTAATTAACTCATTTACATTAAAGTTTTATTTATTTTTAGTCTTAATTAAAAAAATATAGAAAACCTACGCCCAAGCTGCATATCCAGGACGCGTTCCTTCTTGATGGCTTCGGAGATGCCATTTGTAGAATGGGACGGGGTGTGGCGGCTGACTGGGTGCGAGGGTGATACCTAAAAAGTATTAAAATATATTTAACTCGGCATTTTTTTCTTCCGAAATCTATTTGAACCGTAAGAAATACAAATTTTAGTATACTAAAAATACACCTGCTCGGGCGGGAGGTCACCCTGCGGCTCCGGGGTGGGGTCTTTTGATTCGGCAATGTACTCCTCGTCTTGGAGAGCCATTACAAGCGTGTAAGGCACCTGAAAGTATACATTAAAAGCTATAAAAAGTTTACTAAAAATAGGAAAACCGGTGAGAATTAAAAATAGGGTAAAAACAATCGTATCCTACTTTCTGTAATTACCAAATGAAGATCGGGCCAGAGTTTTCAGTCAATGAAAAAGTGAAAAGACGCGAATGTGGCCCATTTCTCGTCTTGGGCTGACAAGAGAAATTCGAGCCGCCATTGAACACAGGGCGGAAGACACGGGCCGCGGGGGACATGAGCATGTGTGGCCCATTTGTGCAATGGGATCCTCGCACGCGGGACCCCACCTGCGCTCAATTCGCACATAAGGAAAGCGGGTTCGGCGGATATTTGATGTCAAGTTTTAAGGAACGTGTAAGGCATGCTTATAATTATGACTAGACTAAATTATAGATTTACTGGCGGTTTTACCGCGCTGCGACACGCGACGCAACGCACTACGCGCCATTTGCTTGCCGTTCTTTTCCTGTCGTAATCGATTACGCAATATACCGGCTCGCGTGTGCGTCGCGTTTCGCGTGCGCGGCGGAATCGTGGAGTGATCCATAACTACGCATTGCCTGTCCCTTTAAAAAACGTAAACCTAAACATGGTTTTTAAAGGGACCGCAAAGCAAATACGCCGGAAAAATTCATCGTTTTTCCTTGAAAATCTCTTCAAAACTAGCTTTTGCTTTTTCCCGCGGCCAAAACACAATATTAACAATAATTTTTTCAGTCCGAAATGATGACGCGCTAACCGAGTAAAGTTGGCGGCCAGAATATGGCTGCGAAGGAAGAGGGGGCCCCGAGTAGAGTGAGGGCCCCTAGGGGGCTTGGGGCCCAGTTGGAGGGCCCCGGATTCCGGATTCGATGCATAATAATGGACGCTGGGGAAGGGGGCAAGATCTTTTCTGGCGAGGCGAGCGTTAAGCCGCCAAAAAACTTATCGAGCAAAAATTAAGGATCGATATATCGATAGGAAAAAAAGCTAAATTTTGGAAATTATGAAATTTGCTGGCGTTTACAGTACATTCACGGAATGCTACAAATTTGATCGAAAGGAGCTAGTTTTTGATCGAAAAATGAAGGTTTTTAGTTTAGAAAAAGATAGAGGTTAGCTAAAAAATCAAATAAAGTTAGCTAATAAGTTAAAAACCTATTCGAAAACATAAAATTTATCGAAAAGCAAAAAATGTAGTAAAAAAAGAAAACTTATGAAAAATACGCGGAAAACAGAATAATTCTCGAAAATTAAAGCTTTTCGATTGGAAATAGAGTTCGAAAAATCGCTAAATGTGGTTTTAAAAACTGTTTTAAAAGGTCCAACTTCTAGATTCTATCAAAAAAAAATCAAAAAAATCATAGAATTCTCGAAATTGCGGGTTTTTCATTGTGAAATCGGGCTTTTAAGGCCCGTGGGGTCCCTTCTAACCCTAGAAGTGCCCCGAATTTCCGGGTTCAGGCTATGATGCCGGAGATCCATTGGGAGCGCGAGCCGGGCAGGCCGGAAAGGAAAGAGCCCCCCCCTCGCACAGCCCGGAATAGCCGAATGAAAGGAAAAGAAAAGAAAGGAAAAGCCTCTCGCCCCCTGAGGGCACACATCGATTCGAAGGAGGACGGGCTGGTGTGTCTTTGCAGCTTTATGTTAGCATAGAGTTAGTTGGAAGAGGAGCATGAGAAATCTTAAACTAAAAAATTGAGCACACGGAAAGCCGGGTTTTCTGAATTTTCTGTTAACTTCAATTGGAAGAGGAGCATGTGACATCTCAAACCAAAAAATCAGCACGAGAAAAATCGGGTTTTGGAATTTTCTGACGTAACGTTTTAGCTTCATCTTGTATAGGGGAATTAGGTTAATTTACCGTCGAACCGGCTAGGCATTGATCATCGAATAACCCCATTAAAAATGTAAATATTTTAACAATAGCTGATTTAAAGGGTGTATTATGGTGTAATTCGTTGCCGTTGAGAACCCCCGTCAAATTTCGCGTTTTTTGAACCCGGCAACGAGCTTTCAGGGGCCATTGAAGGCACCAATGGATTTTAGTGGCTATAGAATTCCGGTAATTTTTTCAGCGCCCGCGACACAATTTTATCAGACAGTTTTAAATGATACTTTATACCTTTAAAAGCATAGTAGTATCATTACTTTTTAGGGTGAAAAACAAGGTGAAAGTAAGCTGGGGAGGGAGCTCTTGGAATAATCATGCCTTGCACGTTCCTTTAAACGATGTTAAACTTCTTATTTTTATCTACTTTATATAATAGAAACCTTTTCATTAAAAATGATATTAAAATATACTCAACGATACTTTGAAACAATACTAACCACCACTTTTTAAGGTGAAAAACAAGGTTCTAAAGCCCCGGAAAGCTCTAGCTATAGGAATAAGGATAGCTATCAGCCGCTCAATAAATCAAGCTGTCGGTGGCTCGAGGCCCAAGTGTGTGTGCCGAGGTTCCGTTTGGCAGGTAGCGGAGCGGAAAAGAGAACGCCGGCTGGGGGTTGAGGCTTATTTGTGAGTGAGTGAAGTGTGGATGTGTCACTGGGGGCCTTTTTCAGTTGCCGTTCTCTCTCTCGCTCTCTCTCTCCTTCTCTCTTTCTCTCTCACTCTCTTCCTCTCTCTCTCTCCTCTGAGGCCCGTCACTTCGGTATTTCGTCCATTTTACACCCATCGGTCAGCCGGCCCCAGGACCACCCTGGACCCCTTAATTTGAAGGCGCTTCACCCCCTGACACCTAGCCGCGAGATTTGCCACGTTATCAGGCGGGAAATCTGGGTTTTAAAGGCAGTTTTTCGATGGATTTCTCGAAGAATCTCTGCTAGCTGTGGCTCGACATTAATAGGAGGTACAGCTCCCAAAGGATCTCTGTTAGTTCGCTAACGTAGCGGTATGAATGAAGAGTTCCCAAAGAATCTCTGCTAGCTCGCCAGCGCATTAATAGACACTAAATTTCCCAAAGAATCTCTTCTAGCTCACTAACGCGCCAATAGCCAAGAATTTCCTAAAGAATCTCCGCTAGCTGGCCCCTGCAGAAATTTTCGAAATTTTCGAAATAACGAACGCGGTCGTAACAAAAAAAAAATCAAAAACATCGAATGCTCCGAACACCCAAAAAATCGAACGCTCGACGGTTTATGCGGAATGTAGGGTATAATCTGCGGCGAGAGCTTGCAGAGCGCAGAGCCAAGCAGAAAACGATGTCGTTACCAGACAATGGTGGCCAATGTATGCTAACAAAAAAAGGGATGGATGCATGGCGCGGGAAAGCAGGGCAAATATTTGATGGTAAAAGCGTCGGGATGGAGCTTGGCCCTGGGTAAGATAAGAGGTAATATAAGTCAAAAAGGTGGAAATTATCAGTTTTAAATGAAGATTGTTAAAACACCGGAAGCGGGAAGTTACATAGCTTGGCGGAAAATCAGGAATTTGCCGGAAACACCGGAAATGCGATAATCAGAATCAGGTAATTTGGGGCCTTCATTCTGCCGTTTGCAGAGCCGGAAAACAGACATTTAAAGGGACATTGTTGGCAGTTTTTCCGTAGTTTTCTCTAAAAATCACTGCTAGCTGGCCAGAGAATTAATAGGACATAAATTTTTCAAAGAATTTCTTTTAATAATTATTCAACATTTAAAAATACTGGTGTATAAGTTTATCTCTCTCGCTAACTCGCAACGCTATAAGTTTATCTAGCTTCCCCTCTCTCCCTCTCTATCTCTCACGCTCTCTCTATCTCGCACTCTCACTCTCTCTATCTCTCGCTCTTTCTATCTCGCACTCTCTCGCTCGCTCTCCCCTCTCCAGCGCGCACTCTCTCTTTCTCTCTCTCTCTCTCTCTCTCTCTCTCACTCTCTCACTCTCTCTCTCTGTCTCTCTCTCAGTCGCTTATCTCTATCTTTCAAGTCCAGAATAACACCAATAAAAGCGTGAAAAACATTAACAAAGGGTGACAATATAGATTTTTGCTCCTGCCAAGGTTTTTATAGAAAAAAAATCATGAAAACCAAAATATTTAGTTTTTAGACTATAAACCACAATATCGACAAATCCCAAAAATTTCCGAAAAACCCATAACACTACAAACTACACCAAGAATGGACAATGCTATTTATGGGAGTAGCCCGACCCGGCTCGGGGGCTCAGGACCCGAAAAGCAGTTTGGGGCCCTGCGGTGGGCTGCAAAAATGGGCATTCATCGTGGATTCTATGGGGGAGGGAGAAGGCCCAAATCGGAAGCCAGCTGGAGAGAGCGAGAGAGAGAGAGAGAGAGAGAGAGACCGAAAGAAAGTGAAAACGGAGACTGGGCCTCTATTCTGGGCCCTTTCGCCCCTCGGGGGGCAATGGGCCCACCACCAGCCAGGCAGCCTCGAATAAACCAATAAGGTAACGGCCAGACATGGGCCTCTGGATTGGGCCTCTTGGATTAAAGAGGGTTTTTAAAGGGGGTAGAGAAGTTATAAAAATCCAGCAGAGAACAGGAGAGAGCATTTGCGCGAGATAGAGAGAGACAGCGCGAGAGAGAGAGTGAGAGTGTATGAGAGAGACAGAGAGAGAGAGCAGGAGCGAAAGAGAGGGAGAAAGAGGGAGAGTGAGAGAGAGAAAGAAAGAGAAAAAGAGAGAGATGTAGACGAGAGAGAGCGTGGGATAGATGGAGCTTGAGAGAGCGATAGAGAGAGAGAGCGGGAGAGAGAGCTAGAGAGCGAGTGGGAGAGAGACAGCGC